CAAGTATTTATTGCACCAAGGTTATACAACATAAATCTAGATTAACCATTTAACAAGCAAAGTATTAAAAGTGAAGAAGATAACAAATACAAAACATGTTAGTATCAAACATTAAAGTCCCTGTTGAGTTTAACCTTATTCTTACACCATTAGTGTAACCTTTTCACCTTGATATGATAAATTTAGCTAAACATAATGGAAAAAAACAGAAAGAAACATAAATAAACAAGATAAGAACATAAATAAGATATAAGTTAACTAAGGAAAGGAAAGGAAATGAAAGGCATAAACAAGAGATTACTATAAACAAAACTTAAGCATTACAAATATAGAGAGAGGAAGCAAGATCATGATCTTTGTCGCACGTGTGCGGCGTCGCAACGATCATCCACCATCCATGCTAACGATGGGATGTGGTGTATTTTTAGCAAGATATTAAGAGACAAGGAATTCTTGTCTCTTATCAGTGAAAACATTGAATGAGAGTCGCCACCTAGTATTCTGGTAACTAGGAACCCTAACTGGTCTTTAGAGATCGGGTACGGAGAATGGTTGCGTAAAGGGAAGGTATTAGAACCCCGACTACGCCCTACCTAAGGTAGGCTGCATTGTTTTGTCTGATAAAATATGAAATCATGTTGTGGTATCTAATTATATGTGTATCTAAAAACCAAAGAAAATTTTAAAATCAAGAATACGTGTTACGTATAACCTCATAATCTCTGATACTAAGCAAAACAAAAAAATTTCTTGTTGTTTTTGATATTTTGGCCAATATTCTCTTGACTTTAATAAACTGGTTATTAAAGCCAAAATGCATGCTAAAATATTATTTTTGATGTATGAAAAATACAATATGATTTTTTTTATTTTTTGTAGCTTTGAGACACTTAGCCGTATGCACAAAAACATTTTTTTTTTGTTGATTTTAATTTTTTTTTAGTTGATAAAAAAAAACTCGGGTATTTTTAATACCGTATTTGTATATTTTTTTTGACAAAAAATATAGACCAATACTAAGCAAAAAAGACATAAATAATAAAAAGAGAAAAATATAAAAAAAATTAATTTTTTTTAAATGGGCCGGACTCGGCCTAGATCAGTGGGTTGGGCTGGACCCGGCCCAAAACCAAATGGGTTGGGTACTGTACAGTAACCAGCTAAGTTTTAAAAAATGGGCCGGACTCGGCCCAGATCAGTGGGTTGGGCCGGACCCGTGTACAGTAACCACCCCCTCCTTCATTTGCTGCAGAACGTGAATTAATTCACGTTCTGCATGCTAATGTAGACCGAAAAAATAAAAAGACAGGGCAACCAGAGATTACCTGGGATTGGTGTCGGGGCGGTGCTGCTGGCGGTGAAGACACGGTGGCCGGTGTTTTGGTGTGTTTTTCTTCTCTCTCTTTCCTCGGTTTTGCACAGTTTTCTCCTTCTTCTTCTCTCTCTCTCTCTTTTGTTTTTTTTCTCTTCTCCTCTCCTCTCTCTCGTGTTTGGTTTCCTTCTCTCTTTCTTTTTCTCCCTCTCTTCGTATTTGTCCTCTCCCCTTTTTTTTTTTTACTTGCTGCCTCCCCTGCTTTTATAGGCAAAAAACAGGGGAGGGACGTGGCTGGGGCGGCCACTGTGCAGCTGCTCCTTCACCGTTCTTCAAGCACGTGGAAAGTGGGTTGTGTCGGCGTCTTTTTGAAGTTGAATTGTCGGTAAAAAGATCGGTAAAAACAGAGGAGAAAAACACATTTTCTTCCCCTGTTCTCTATGTGTCCAGGGGAAGAAGATGATGGTACTGTTCAAAATGGCACCGTTTTGAGTTTTCTGTTTTTTTTTAATGAATAGTGCATATAAACAGTGCATAAAACGATGTCGTTTTTCCCAAAACATGTCGTTTCATTTAACTGAGATTTGGCGCCAAAATGCGCCAGATTCAAAATGAGGCCTTCAATTTGGGCGTGTTTTACAATTTGGTCCTTGGTTTTGGATTTCTTCAATTAAGTCCCTAATTGGCCATCAAACTTCAATATTTATGCAATTAAGTCTCTGATTTAACCAAATTAACTCTCAAAAATTATATTTTGACCCTAGAACTTTAATTTCTTCTAATAAAAGCCCAAATTAACTAAAAAATCAAATTTTCTTGCAATCAAAACATCCATAAATTCAATTAAACCTTTATTAAAATTTAATTGAATCCATAAACATTTTATTTTGGATTTTTCTTCCTAAAATTAATTTTCTTTGTCAACAAGGTTCTCATTAGTTAACAAAATACTGCCAAATTTTAATCTTTGTAATTGTAAACATCCTCAACTAATTTTTGACCATTTTCTGAATATTCTGACATCCTTTTTTTTTTTACTGTTATTATTTTTAAATTAGTTATTATTATTCTTATTTTGAATTATTTTTCATTTTCTTATTTTTCTATATATATATATATATATATATTTACGTGGGGACCCAAAAATGGGTTACAACAGATGCCCCCTCTTTACAAGACTTACGAAGCAAATACTTTGCATAGTAAGTTTTGTAAAGAAAAATAAAATTTGATCTTCCAAAACTAATCTTCTTAAAGCTTAGTTGACTTAAAAACCCCCTTCTGCGATTACTTTGTATCACAGCTAATATCATGTTTGGTTGGGATAAACTAAGATTCCTTCGCCAATCCCCTTTAACCAGAACCAAAATCTTGTTGTGGTTAGGATAAACTGAGATTCCTTTCGCCAATCCCCTTTAACCAGAACCAATATCCTATGCGTGGTTAGGATAAACTGAGATTCCTTTCGCCAATCCCCTTTAACCAGAACCAATATCCTCTATGTGGTTAGGATAAACTGAGATTCCTTTCGCCAATCTCCTTTAACCAGAACCAATATCCTATGTGTGGTTAGGATAAACTGAGATTCCTTTCGCCAATCCCCTTTAACCAGAACCAATATCCTATGCGTGGTTAGGATAAACTGAGCGTCCTTTCGCCGATATTTCTTTACCAGAACCAATATCCTATGTGTGGTAAGGATAAACTGAGATTCCTTTCGCCAATCCCCTTTAACCAGAACCATTGTAACACCACAGTTTAAGAAAGATCAATCTTATAACAAATTTGCTCCCTTTCTTTTCTTTTCTCTGGTCCAAACTAAACTCTTTGTTACTCTTCCCTCAATGATTCCTTCTTTATCCACAAACTCTCTGGATTTTAACTCGTATATTTCTTCAAACAATCACTAACAGAATGCAATATTTAAAAATGGAATGCTAATGCATGCTTTCTTACCTGTCTTGAAACATAGATCCCCAAGGTTTCGTAAAACCTTTCCCTCGGTATGAGCTTATCTCGTATGTTCGTAGTCAGTTGTGGGCATGTGTTTGTTGTACTGTTCTATTTCAAATGAAGAAATCTCCACTTTTCCACTGAGTCCACCTTATTTATCATGATCCTGCCGATGCTTTTATTCGTTTTCTCCATATCAACATGAAGGGCTTTTTAGGTTTTTTTTTGTTTGTTTGTTTTTTTTTTTGGTATTTTGTTTTTCAACAGTAAAGAAAATGACCGGTTTTCTAGAAGAAATCTTTAGCAACAACTAGAGCTTGAAATTGTGCATGCCTACTAGAACGTTCCACATGCATACTAAAGACTGGTTTAAGCAGTTCCCATTAGAGTTTTCTTAGGTTTTGGAATGCAATTGTCTTTAAGTCAAACTCTTTCTTTTTCTTTTTTTTTTAAAGGTGACCTTCTGTTTAATCTTTTCCAAAGGCTTCAAGCAAAGACTTGAAAAGGCTGAATATATATAAAAAGAATTGTCCCATACTAGCATTTTTCAAATATGGATAATAGTAGATCACCCTGCCTTTATCAGGTCCTGTGGATCATGAGACCAAAGTTTATCAAACCAAGTTACATACGCTTGATTAGAAAGGGCTTCTAAAAGCTTGTAATATAGGGTATGGTTATGGGTTATGAAAGAAAGGATGTTTACAGTCTCAAAAGGTGTTTGAGGGTTTCAAAGACTTAGGATCAACTATTCATCAATCATTTTTCTCTTATCATATATCCTTGTTCACCTTTATGACCAGAATTCTCATAACATAGGTCATACCAAAACAAAATCTTCATTCTTGAATATATGAAAAGTCATCTGGAGATTCTATTCTTGACACCAAAAACAAAGTTTGTAACTTTGTTATTCTTTGTATGGTTTTCTTTCTTCTTTTCCTTTTTCCTTTTTTTGTTCATAATGTCATCTTTGGGGTTCTTTGTAGTGTATACTACATGAGACATCAATTCCATCATCTATGTTCATTGCTTTGTCTGGATAATAACCAAATATTACATGATCAAATCTCATATCCATCTTTATTGCTTTGTCTAGCTGGTAAGGTGATTAAAACTGGCATTAGTATGTTTTGCCCCTAGTCTAAGTTTTTTTTTTGTTTTTTTTTTCAATCATCGTTGGACTTTTTCTTAACCTTCCCTTCCTTATTGATTCTATTAGGGTCTTTCCAATATCTCTCGTTTGCCCCCAGTGTGGGGTGTGATCCTAGCCAAGGCTGTTATAAGAAAGAAATGTGATTCAGCTCAAATGGGGACTACAAAGGATGAATTTATTAGAAAAGTGAATGGATGACAAAGATGGTCTTTCCTCATTTCAAAGCACACGTTGTTAGGATTGATAAACCTTGTTCTTATTCCAGGAAAATATATGTGATCACAGAGATGGTTAACTAACCATTTATCTATGCAAATTCAAAAAATGCTAGTAGAGACAAGGTTTTATCTCAGGGTTAGTCTTGGGGTTTATTTTGGTTTGGTCACCTCTTTTTCCAGGAAATGCTTAAATTTCATCTTTGAGTGCTTTATGATGCATTTCTTGTAATCATGCACAAAATCAGTTCTTTCCAGATAAATGACATAAGTGTTGTGAGATCAAGGCAATGACAAGGTTCTTTACATAAAGAATGCATGGCCAAACTTTATTGTATTTATTTCGGGAGAAAATTGAACACATTTAGACATAATATCTCTTTACAGAGTCAGAATTCATAGGTCTGGTTAGATCTTCTCCATCCATGCTAGATAATTTCAGAGCTCCGCCTGAGAAAGCTTTCTTTACTATTTAAGGACCTTCATAATTTGGAGCCCATTTGCTGTGGTCTTCTCTTGGTAAAGATAAAAGTTTCTTGAGCACTAGATCTCCTTCTTGAAACACACGAGGTCTAACCTTCTTGTCATATGCCTTAACCATTCTTTTCTGGTAAAGTTGATGATGACAGATGGCGGCTATCCTCTTTTCACTAATGAAGTTTAACTGTTCATATTTGACTTTGGTCCATTCAGCCTCTTCTAACTCTGAATTCATCAACACCCTTAATGATGGGATTTCGACTTCCAACTGCATTACTGCCTCCATTCCATATACCAATGAATATGGCGTGGCTCCAGTCGAGGTCTTATTGCAATGCGATATGCATGGAGAGCGAATGGCAACATCTCGTGCCAATCTTTATAGGTGACTACCATTTTTTGAATGATTTTCTTGATGTTCTTATTGGCTGCTTCCACGGCCCCATTCATTTTTGGCCTATATGGTGAGGAATTTGAATGTTTGATCTTCCATTTAGCACAAAGCTCCACTATCATTTTGCCGTTGAAATTCTGTGCATTATCAATCACTATCTTTTCTGGCAGCCCATAACGACAAATCAAGTCTTTCTCTATGAACCTCTTTACCACTTTCTGAGTCACATGAGCGTATGAACAGGCTTCTACCCATTTCGTGAAATAATCAATGGCTACAAGGATGAATCTATGCCCATTGCTGGCTTTTGGGTTAATAGGCCCAATCACATTAATTCCCCACATTGCAAATGGCCAAGGAGATACCAGATTGAACAAAGGGGTTGGAGGTGCATTGACTTTATCACTATGCACTTGACACTTGTGACATGTTCTGACATAATCGATGCAGTCTTTCTCTAATGTCATCCAGAAATAACCAGCCCTTTGTATTTTTCTTGCCATCATAAGTCCGCTAGCATGGGTTAAGCAAATCCCTTCATGGACCTCTCGCAAAGCCGTTCTAGCATCTGTTGCATTCAAACACCTTAGTAATGTTCCATCGAATGATCTTTTGTACAAAATCTCTCCGTCTAGATAAAAGCCCATGGCCAATCGTCTTAGGGTCTTCTTATCCACCTGCGAAGCTCCCTCTGGATATTCCTGCTTCTGCACAAAGTTCTTGATATCGTAATACCAAGGCTTCCCATCTATCTCTCCTTCAATTGAGTAACAATAAGCTGGGTTATTTCTGATATTAATGTGTATTGGTTGCACCATATACCCGAGATCAATTGTAGCCATAGCAGCTAATGTAGCTAAAGCATCCACAAAATGGTTCCCCTCTCTTCTCAGGTGAGTGAACTTTATCTCTTCAAAGTCCTCTACTAGTGTGGACAAGTATTCCTGGTAAGGCTTTAACTTTTCTTCCTTGGTTTGCCATTCTCCTTTCACTTGACAAATAATCAACATGGAGTCACCATATACATCCACTTTTCTAATCTTCATCTCTAATGCAGCTTCTAAACCGAGTATACAAGCTTCATATTCAGTTGTATTGTTGGTGCATTCAAAATGTAATTTAACTGAAACTGGATATAGCTTTTAATTAGGCGAGATTATCACTGCGTCGGCCCCATTACCATATACATTCACTACTCCGTCAAAAAACATAGTCCACCAATTTGTCTTTTCCTCTTCTTCCTCTATTGCCAATAAATTTTCATCTGGAAAATCAAAATCCAGTGGTTCATAATCCTCAATAGCATTATCAGCTAAATGGTCAGCAATCACGCTCCCCTTCACAGCTTTCCGTGTCATATACACTATGTCATACTCTGACAACAAAACTTGCCACCTTGTAATTCGGCTGGAGAGATAGGGCTTGTTACATATGTATCTCAATGGATCCACTTTTAAAATCAACCAAGTGGTATGATACAACATATAATGTCGTAATCTTTTTGCCGCCCATCCCAATGCACAACACAATTTCTCTATTACTGTGTATCTAGACTCACATTCAGTGAACTTCTTACTCAGGTAATAAATAACCCTTTCTTTCCTCCCTGTTTCATCATGCTGACCCAGTACACATCCCATAGTTGTCTCCATTACCGTCAGATACAAAAGTAAAGGCCTTCCTGACACATGAGGAACAAGCAATAACAGACTTTGCAAATAATGCTTGATTTTATTGAATGCCTCCTCACACTGTTCATTCCAAGTTCCCGGATTCTTTTTTTGGAGCAATCGGAAGATAGGTTCACATGTGGTAGTTAGTTGAGCTATAAATCTGGCAATATAGTTTAACCTTCCCAAGAATCCTCTCACTTCTTTCTCTGACTTTGGGGTTGGCATGGATTGGATGGCTTTTGCTTTGTTAGGATCCACCTCTATGCCTTTGCCACTTACTACAAATCCTAATAGCTTGCCGGACTTAACCCCAAATGAACATTTTGCAGGGTTGAGCCTTAGTTCATACTTTCTCAATCTCTCGAATAACTTTCGCAACACCTTAACATGATCTTCTCCCTCTTTTGACTTTGCAATCATATCATCTACATACACCTCGATTTCCTTGTGCATCATATCATGGAATAGAGTTACCATGACTCTTTGATAAGTGGCTCCTGCGTTCTTTAAACCGAACGGCATAACCTTATAGCAGTAAGTTCCCCAAGGGGTAACAAAAGTCGTTTTTTCCTTGTCTTCTAAAGCCATCTTTATCTGATTGTATCCTAAGAAACCATCCATAAAGGAATATGTGGAACTACGAGCAGCATTGTCAACTAAAATGTCATCTTTGGGGCTAGCTTTGTTCAAATTCCTAAAATCCACGCAAATTCTAATCTTCCCTTCCTTCTTAGGTATGACAACAATGTTGGATACCCATTGTGGGTATTTAACAACTTATAGGAATCCAGCATGCCATTGTTTCTCGAGTTCCTCTTTCACTTTAATCCATGTATCCGGATGTGCTCTCCTCAACTTCTGTTTGACTGGTTTACAACCTTCCTCTAATGGGATCTTGTGTACCATGATATTTGTGTTCAAACCAGGCATATCCTCGTAAGACCAAGCAAAAATATCTGCATACTCATGTAATAGAGCTATTAACTCCGCCCTTTTCTTAGGCGTGGTCAATGTCCCTATTTTCAATTCTTTTTTAGCTTGATCACTACCCACATTTATAGTTTTGAGGTCTTCAGCAGCAGGTTCCCAGGTTTTTTCATGTTGCTAGCTTTGTGAATTCTCTGATATTGCTTTCATCCCATTCTTCTTCTTCCATCATTGTCACATATTTGTTAAAGTTTGGCCATTCATTCTTGATGTTAAATGTATGTGATGTCGGGGAAGATCCGCTTTCAGGATTCCTGAAAGCGGCAAATGTTTAATGTAAAGGCAAGCATAAAAACAAATGAATATAGAGAAAAACGTTATCTTATTGCTTAGGAAAGTAGGCTCAATGACAAAGACAAAATCTAGTTGATATCATGAGCCTTGATTATCAACCAGAAAGACAAAAGAAAACAACGATAGAAGCATATGAAGGCGAACAAAGGAGGTTTACATTTTAAACACTACTGGGGCTTCTTGGGTCACCCAGTTTTGAAACTTTTCACCTTCAGCCAGCCTTCGCACAAAAGTCTTGGTGGGGAGTTCTTCTAGGATATGAACAGTCAGTTGCGGTAGCACTTCATCTTCCCTTTCCACTATTATTGTCGTGTTACTTCCTTCCACCTTATCTTCCTCCATGGTGTTGATGCTCATAGTTACCACCCTTTGAACAACATCTTCTGCTCTGTTATCTGGTTGCATCACATATGTTGCCTTTGGGAAAGACACCATTAGGGGAGGGATTTCTAGTTTTTCTTCTTCAAGCTCCCTTCCTTTAATTCTAGCCATTCTTCGTTCTCTTCGTCTATCTGCAGCCCAACGATGGTCCTCCTTCTTAGGCTTATATCCTAAACCAAATTTTTGGTCAGCACATCTTATCTTGATTGGCTTAATCCTTTTTGGTAGTTTAGTGATAGGGTTATATTGGAATGGGATTCCATGTTCCAAAAAACATTTAGCTGCCATCCTTGCTGCTTCTGAAATCCTCGACTTTCTTAACATTGTGCTTTCAGGTACCCACTCAGTGTTTACAATCTCAAAGGCATGAAGATTCTCACTCGCACAATCTTTTGCCTCAAAGAAAGGTATAGCAAGATTCTTTATTATGGAGATCGTTTCCTCTGCTTTAACGGTTACTAACATCCCGTTCATGATATATTTCAAACATTGGTGTAATGATGAAGTTACCGCCCCAGCTGCATGAATCCAAGGTCTTCCCAGCAACATGCTATAGGATGGGTGGATATCCATCACTTGGAGTGATACTAAGAACATTTGTGGTCCCACATACAGCTCTACCTCCAAAGTCCCAATGATTTGTCTAGGCGAACCATCATATGCTCTTGCTATCATGGTACTAGGCTTCATATGAGATTCGTCGATTGACATTTCTTTCAGCATATGTTTCGGCAGTACATTAAGAGCTGAGCCGTTATCGACGAGTACTTTTCCAACAAGACAGTCTTTGCATTTTATGGTGATATACAAAGGTTTGTTATGTCCTGTTCCTTCAGCATCTAATTCATCAACTGTGAAGTATAGGTAATTAGAAGCGTGGATCCTCCCTACCAGGTGCTCCATAGTTTTCTGTTCAATGTCCTGGGGTATATACGCCTCATTTAGTACCTTTTGTAAGGCATTTCGATGTGGCTCTGAGCTTAGTATCAAGGACGTAAGAGATATCCTTACTGGAGTCTTTTTGAGTTGATCTACTATACAATACTCACTGTGCTTTATCAACTTCAAAAATTCATTTGATTCCTCTTCTGTTACTGGCTTATTTACCTTTGTTTCTTTATCAAGATCCACCACTTCCTTGCTTTTGGCTTTCTTTAACTCCTCGGGAGTAAAACAACGGCCACTCCGTGTTAGCCTACTAATCTCAGTATGAAATAAAGGGATTGGGGCTTGAGTGTTCGCGGTATAACCATAGCTATATGGCATTGCATTGTGATCCTTTGGTGTAAATGAAGGTTTAGTCAGGATCAGTTTTGGTAACCCATTAGTTGTAGTTTGAACTCTACACACCTTTGACAATTTATCTTGGCTTTCCATCATACTCACCTCTTGGTTGCCCCCCGTGGTTTCAAGTCTTAATTCTCCCATGATTAACATTGTTTCAATCTTCTAGCGAAACTTGATACAATCCTCAATATGATGTCCCTCTATCCTATGGAACTCACAATAGGTATCACCTCCCAACTGACATGCAATGTTCATGTTTAGTGACCCTGATTGTAACAACATGTCATACAGCCCTTTCATAGACACCTTCAATACTTGTTTTTGATTGGCAACCTCTATCATGCCCACTCCCGAATTACCATGAGCATGTTTAGGCAATGGATTTGAATTGATGTTGGGCGCGTCTTCGAAAGATACCCACCCCATTTTGATGAGTTCTAACAACTTCCTTTTAAAAGCATAGCAAGTTTCAATTGCGTGCCTAGGATTACCGGCATGGTATTCACAAGCTAGTTCTAGCTTGTACCATATGGGAAAGGGTGGTTGAATTGGCGGTAGAAGAATTGGAGTTATTTGCCCAATGTTTAGCAATTTAGCGTATAAATCTTTTAAAGGCATTGGTAGTGGAGGTAATTGCTCAGAAGTATACTTGGTATATGGCCTTTGATAATTGTTTTGGTTGTTTGGTGGGTGATTGCTTTGGTTGGTTGAATTTGGGTATACGGGCTTGGTAAAGTTCATGTTGGTGAATTGCGGGGTAGGTATTTGTGGGTTAGGGTAATTTACTTTCTTTCCTTTATAACCTACTTCTAAGTTGTTAACATCCCCTTCTCTTCTTCTTCCTAAATAACCTTTTTTTTTTTCCAAAGGCTTCCGGTATGCGCCCGGATTTAATACCTTGCTCTATTCTCTCTACTATGCGTACAGCGTCATAAAAATGCTAAGAGGAGCTGCCCATTAAATGCTCATAGTAAGGTGTTTTAAAGGTATTAGCAAATAAAGTCACCATCTCGGTCTCGATTAAAGGGGGTTGGACATGTGTCGCCTCATCCCTCCACCTTTGTGCATACACCCTGACTGACTCCTGGCTTTTTTTTTTCCATGGACATTAGGCTTGTTCAGTCTGGAGCTATTTCTAGGTTGAATTTATACTGTTTGAGAAACGCCTCTACCAAATCTTTCCATTTCTTGATTTTACTTGTTTCCAACCGCATATACCAGTTTAAAGCAGAGCCTGACAGACTATTTTGAAAAAAATAGATAAGCATTTTATCGTCATGGATTACTTCCACCATCTTATTGCAGTAAGATCGAAGGTGTGTGTTTGGGCACTCCAAGCCTGTATATTTGGTGAATTCTGGGACCCTGAAATCTTTTGGTACCACGATGTTTGGTACCAAACACACCTCAGCTGCTCGCATTGGGTCGAACCAATCATGTCCTTCTACAGCTCTCAATCGTTCTTCTAATGCAGATATCTTATCTTGGCTGATGAAACTGCCAGACCTATTTTCAGAAGGCCTATTCAGTGTTAAATCTCCGATAGGTGGCATGTGAGCTAACTAGATAGGGATGGTTGGCGTAGAATGTTGTTCCGCTACTGACTCTGCCCCTATAATTGGAGATGTTGTAGGCAAACTTGTAGCTGGCTGAGCAGATGTTCCCTCCCCACTTTTTGCTTTTAACAGCTGTTCAAGCAGATTAGTCATCCGTGACACTTTATTTTTCACTGATTCTAGCTCGCTCTGGTAGCGGGATTCTAGAAGAGCCCTTTCTTCGTGTTCCATTCTTGCTTTGTTTCTGGTGTAATGGACCTTGGGTGGGGGACCTATGTTTCACTGGGATTATGCAAATGACATATTATAAACAGACATATGATGCAAAATAAGATGCATATGTGATGCGTATATTTTAATGAACTGATTCATGACTTTCGTAATCCTTTATACAAGATATCTAAGCCAAACTGATTGCTGTAAAGAGTGTTTTCCAAGTTCTTTATCAGATTTAACTCCCCGAAACTCAATTTGAAAAGAAGGATGGCCTTTTTATAACTAACCGAAGGTGGTAAAAACTTTACAAAATAGCAATAGCCTGAATACATTGTTACTCTAAAAGGCAATTCCTTTATTGGCTAAGTCATTAATAAAGGAAGTGAGAGCCCCCAAGTATTCTCGATACTTTGTAGCATTATTTCCAACTTGGGTTGCCTGTTGTTGCATTCTCTGGGCATAGTAGGCCACTTACTCGACTTGTTTCGCCATATGTCTTATTTGGTCATGCAAGAAAGTGTTATTTGTGATGTTCACTTCATTGTTGGCTCCCAAGACTTCATTGCTTCTTTCCAATGTTCGGACCATTGTTTCTAACAGTGATAATGTAGCCTTAGCTCTTTGTAATTCTTCTCTTTCAATGTCTAGCTTGGCGTTTTTGGAGTTCATTTGAACTACAAAGCTGTTAATATAGTTTTGACATTTCTGGTACTCTTGCTTCAGCTCATGTAACTCTTCTTCTATCACACCATAATCACTTCTCAACCCCACTTCTTGCATCTCCAGCTTGGATTGTAGAATGATTATCTGTTCTTTTGAATACTCGGCCCTTTGTTGGTAATCTCTCATATCAGCCTCAGCAGCCTTTCTCATACCTCTCTCCTCTTCCAACTGTACCATATATTGGGCACATATATTTCTCTCTTCTTCTATATCAAGGTGGGCTTGCCGAGTCTTTTCTTTCTCAATTTCCATCTTTCCTATGAAACTGCTCCTTTCTCTCTTCACAGAAGCCAATATCTCTTTATCTGTATTTATCTTGTCTTGCACTGATTTCTTGATTTTGGCCAACTCTTTTTCTGTAAGCCTATGTTTATGAACCAGTTTATCATTTTCAGTTCTTAGATCCTTCAACTCATCCTGGATCTGTTTAGCTAGTGCTTCAGCTATCTCTGCCCTTCTCTGCCATTGTTTGCAAGATGTTAATTGCTCCTGTTTCTCTTCTAATTGTTGGTTCAAACAATTCCTCATTGTATTTTCTTCTTCTAATTGTTTTTCCAGGATTTGTGTTTGCCTTTTGCTTTTGCCGAGGTTTGTGCTGCATCTCTCTAACTGTCTTCTTAGTTCTTCCTCATGATCAATCCTTTTTCTTTTTGGTTGCTCTATTGCGGACTCAGGATGTTCAGGTTTTGAAGACTCAATAACCCCAGAAAGCTTTCCATTTCTTCAAACTGCATAATTCTGGCTGACAGATGATTCAAACATGCTACCTTCTTCCTTTTTCACCAGTATAGGCCTTTTCCAGTCTTGTCGAATGAGTTCCATTTCTTTGAGGTATGGCTGATGTTTGAATAAACCAAAGAAATCTGTTAAACCTAAAGTTCTTGGTGTATATTGCATTCCACCCAACTGTCTTGTTACTAGTGCTGGGGCATAACTAATGTATCCAGTAACACCAATCAGGGGAACCCATACCTTGCTCCCACAACTCATTGTGCAGACTGTGTTATTCATCCACGGTGCTTTCCATTTGAAGTTGCTTTGTGGTAGTGCAAAATATTTCTTTATCCATGCTTTCTCATCCCAATGTCTCCAAGTCTCCTCTATTGTCACTTTCAGTGGTCGAAGGTCAAACCACTAGAAGTTGTTGAAGATGTCCTTTGGTGTCTCAATATGACTGATAATCCATAAATATAACATAGGGACGCAACACCTCATTGCTCCCTTTCCATTCATTCTGCAATGGTTGAGTGACAACATGGTTTCAGCCAAAATTACTGAAGCAGGATTGATCTGGTCATGCTCGTATTCTAAGAAAACACTTGCGGCTTCCAAATTGATGACCCCAATTTCAGATGGAAACAATACAAGGCCAAATATGGCGAAAGCCACCAATCGGTATCGTTCATCTCCCAATCTGCCATCCTTGGCATTCTTCTTCATCCTAGCTTCAATGACTTTCCATTTGAAACCCCCATGAGCTATTTTGCATTGACTGATTTGTCCCAAGCCTAATAACTTTACCACCTCTGTGGTTGTGCCTTCAAAATTTCGTCTGAGGTAAATGTTGTGGCTGTTATTTGGAAAATCTAGGATCCTCTCATATTCCTCCAAGGTAGGTGTCATATCTATGTTTCCAAAAGTGAAACACCGATAACTAGGATCCCAAAAGGTGACTAGAGCTTTGATTGCTGCTGTTTGTAGGGGTAACCTCATTAGGTGCGCAATTCTCCCATATCGCCTTTCAAAAATAGTATCATCAACATATCCCATAATGGACAACAACTTCTCCAAGTCATTGATTGTGTGATTTATCTTGGTAATCTCGGGTAATTTACTGCTATTGATTCTTGGACATTTTCCTTCAGCTACCTGAGTTAGCTCAGATTCTTGCCCAAACTTGTGAAAAGATTGATACTCAGTCATGATTTCAGTTCAACCTGCAGTGATGATTTTTTACATGATTAAATGCAAATGACAGCAAAGTAATATATATCCTAAAGTTGAGTTCTAATCAGTATGTCCAACACAAGGTAGGCTTCCTCTATCTAGTCTCAAAAGGGTCTCATATCTGCCTAGTGACGGCCTTCTTAAAGGCAGTATGGGGGCGTTGCAAAGAACAGCTAAAGCACGTATGCCCGCCATTACTAAGCAGGCACTCAGATATGAGTTGGGTGTTTCACGCATCTGAACCCGACCAATAGTCATAGGGCAGATCGCTAATTCCCCACTTAACTTAGAAGTTTGTTTATGTGTTGTCACAAAATTAAAGCATATGTACAAAAATGAAAGCATGTAAGACAATAAATACATATTAACCGATAACACACAAATAAGGCAACGCAATTATCAGAAAAAAAAAAACCATGCTTAGTCCACAAGAAAGGTCCCCAGTGGAGTCGCCATTCTGTCGCACGTGTGCGGCGTCGCGACGATCATCCACCATCCATGCTAACGATGGGATGTGGTGTATTTTTAGCAAGATATGAAGAGACAAGGAATTCTTGTCTCTTATCAGTGAAAACATTAAATGGGAGTCGCCACCTAGTATTCTGGTAATTAGAAACCCTAACTGGTCTTTAGAGATCGAGTACGGAGACTGGTTGCGTAAAGGGAAGGTATTAGCACCCCGACTACGCCCTACCTAAGGTAGGCTGCATTGTTTTGTCTGATAAAATATGAAATCATGTTGTGGTATCTAATTATATGTGTATCTAAAAACCAAAGAAAATTTTAAAATCAAGAATACGTGTTACGTATAACCTCATAATCTCTGATACTAAACAAAACAAAAAAATTTCTTGTTGTTTTTGATATTTTGGCCAATATTCTCTTGACTTTAATAAACTGATTATTAAAGCCAAAATGCATGCTAAAATATTGTTTTTGATGTATGAAAAATACAATATGATTTTTTTTTTATTTTTTGTAGCTTTGAGATACTTGGCCGTATGCACAAAAACATTTTTTTTTTGTTGATTTTAATTTTTTTTTAGTTGATAAAAAAAAAACTCGGGTATTTTTAATACCGTATTTGTATTTTTTTTTTGAAAAAATATAGACCAATACTAAGCAAAAAAGGCATAAATAATAAAAAGAGAAAAATATAAAAATATAAAAAAAATTAAATTAAATTTTTTTTTTAAATGGGCCAGACTCGGCCCAAATCAGTGGGTTGGGCCGGACCCGTGTATAGTAACCACCCCCTCCTTCATTTGCTGCAAAACGTGAATTAATTCACGTTCTGCATGCTAATGTAGACCGAAAAAATAAAAAGACAGGGCAACCGGAGATTACCTGGGATTGGTGTCGGGGCGGTACTGCTGGCGGCGAAGACACGGTGGCCGGTGTTTTGGTGTGTTTTTCTTCTCTCTCTCTCCTCGGTTTTGCACAGTTTTCTCCTTCTTCTTCTCTCTCCCTCTCTTTTGTTTTTTTTTCCTCTTCTCCTCTCCTCTCTCTCGTGTTTGGTTTCCTTCTCTCTTTCTTTTTCTCCCTCTATTCGTATCTGTCCTCTCCCTTCTTTTTTTTTACTTGCTGCCTCCCCTGCTTTTATAGGCAAAAAACAGGGGAGGGACGTGGCTGGGGCGGCCACTGTGCAGCTGCTCCTCCACCGTTCTTCAAGCACGTGGAAAGTGGGTTGTGTCGGCGTCTTTTTGAAGTTGAATTGTCGGTAAAAAGATCGGTGAAAACAGAGGAGAAAAACACATTTTCTTCCCCTGTTCTCTGCGTGTCCAGGGGAAGAAGATGATGGTACTGTTCAAAACGCCACCGTTTTGAGTTTTCTGTTTTTTTTTTTAATGAATAGTGCATATGAACAGTGCATAAAACAACGTCGTTTTTCCCAAAACGTGTCGTTTCATTTAACTGAGATTTGGCGCCAAAATGCGTCAGATTCAAAATCAGGCCTTCAATTTGGGCGTGTTTTACAATTTGGTCCTTGGTTTTGGATTTCTTCAATTAAGTCCCTAATTGGCCATCAAACTTCAATATTTATGCAATTAAGTCCCTGATTTGACCAAATTAACTCTCAAGAATTATATTTTGACCCCAGAACTTTAATTTCTTCTAATAAAAGCCCAAATTAACTAAAAAATCAAATTTTCTTGCAATTAAAACATCCATAAATTCAATTAAACCTTTATTAAAATTTAATTGAATCCATAAACATTTTATTTTGGATTTTTCTTCCTAAAATTAATTTTCTTTGTCAACAAGGTTCTCATTAGTTAACAAAATACTGCCAAATTTTAATCTTTGTAATTGTAAACATCCTCAACTAATTTTTGACCATTATC